CCCCCCCCCCTCCGTGGGCATGAGCAACGCCGGAACTTGGAAAGTGTGAGTACAGGCTGTCGGCGGTAGCGCACGAAAAATGAAGCGTCTCGGAAAAGAAACGCGCCGGCTGCGCACGCCCTACGGGTGGTGTTAGCAGGCAAACGAAAGGAGAAGTTGTTGGCGCCGCAAAGCATGCAAGAGACAACAAACTCAATCTTGCTGGAATTGCTGTACGCCCATCTAAACACCGCACGAAGGCATCTGCGGCATACTCTACGAACCAATGGATGGGATGGCGGGAAAAGGAAGGGACCTATCGGCGGTAAATTTATCCTCGAGGGCAAACCGCGGCGGGCGTACGACGGGCTCGGCCACGGTGGCATTTCCAAGCACAGCAGGCGCCCACGTCAAGCCGATTCACGCAAAGCGTGGAGAAATAAACAAACGCATGTGTGTGTCTGCATGGCATGAGAGAATAAAGAGTCTACACCACCTGATACATGCACACCAACACCGTACGGTGGCTTCGGCGGAATACCATACCCGCCAAGTAATGACGTTGACAGGACCAGAACTAAAATTTCGGTGGAACGTGCATCCCAAGGATTTCACGGGAAGCGCGTGCTTACGACGAGCTTGTGCTCAGCCAGCGTCGGCAAGGAGGTATGCACGCCGTAACGACGCACCCAGCATGTGAAAGTAAACAGATAAATATGCAACCAAGACCAACCATTGGGTGTGCATGCGAACCACGGCGCAAGTTCGCGACGACAACGGGTTCAAAGCGAGCGACAAAGCCTTACAGATGAGTAACCTGCTTGGCCCATGGGGACCACGTAGCAGCCCAGACCAGAACAAAGGAGACAACCGGTCTACAACGAGCCACCTTCAAAACGTGCCTGTGAAGATGCGAGGCTTCGCGCGAACAAGTCATCCCCACTACTTCAGAAAGCGGCTATCGTGGCCCCCAGCCTACCTCTAAAATGTAAAGCGCGAGAGATGGTACTGCTGCTGGACGTCCGCAAGCTAGGATCACATGTGGCAGTCAAAACCCGTGTGCTCGGCGTAAAGCCCAAGGGCAGGCGGGCCCGCCTAGGCATATCTCGACGAGGCCTAAGCAAAAGCCGACAGGAAGCAGCGCAAGGTAATGTATTAGAAGAGCAGACCACGCGATAGCATCTATGGCATGCCAAGGAAGTCCCACCGGTGACTTTCGCGGGAACGATTCGGTCAGTGTATCACCGGCCCCGTCGGCGGTCTGTTTGCCCCACGGGTTACGTTAGCGGGTTGGAGGAAAGCTGGCCAATGTACCCGAGGGGCTGCACGAGCACTTAACACCACACGGTATGCGTCGGC